CCCACATAGCAATTTTTCTCTGGCCCAGCTCCGGCCCACACAACCAGTTTTTGCTTGGCCCACATACCGCAATGAATGACGGTCCTAGTGTGGACCAGGTCTGGATTCCAGACAAGGGCCACACATGGCCATAAACTGGCCCAAGTCTCAGCCAAGTTACTTATCCATAACTGGCCCAGAATTGGGCCAGATCGAAATGTACATAGCAAAATTGGTTTGGCCCAGTGATGGGCCACACAACCCACTTTCACTTGGCCCAAATACAGCAATGAATTACGGTACATGACTGGACCAGGTCTGGTTGCCAGAACTCGGGCCACATGTGGCCCATGGCATAGCCATATCTCAGCCAAAGGTATGACTATAGCTGGTCCTATTCTGGTCCTTTGCAGGACCAAACAATTCATGTCAGCCTCAACTGCATGATCTAGCCACTTTATATACACTCTGCTCAGCTGAAAAATGTCTGAAACACAACAGTATTCTTAAATTTTTTTTTATTTTTTCACATTTAAACAAAACAATTTACAAAAACAAACAAACAAACAAACAAACAAACAGATTCTCTGGATCATCATTAATAACACATTATAATAACACTCATCATTCACGTTTCTTTCCCTGCTCATTTTCCATTAGTTTACCAACTAGCCTTAATGCCCTTCTTCATGAATTACCCCTATCATTGTACATCCAAGTCTTTTCCATACCGTGGCTTTACTCAGATCTTTTGTTCTTGAACCTGAAACAAACACAAAAGAGAACATTATAAATTGAAAAAATAGTTATATAAATTATTAATAATATTGGTAACACTTTACAATAAGGTTCATTAGTTAACATTAGTTAATGTATTTACTAACATGCACTAACCATGAGCAATACATTTGTTACATTTGTTCATCTTTGTTAATGTTATGAAAATACAGCTGTTCATTGTTTGTTCATGTTAGTTCACGGTGCATTAACTAATGTTAACAAGATTTTAATCAAGTATTAGTAAATGTTGAAAATAACATTAACAAAGATTAACAAATGCTGTATATGTGCTATTCATTATTAGTTCATATTAACTAATGTAGTTAACTAATGTTAACTAACGAACCTTATTGTAAAGTGTTACCATAATATAGAAAGCACACACACGCACACACGCAAAACAAAAACAGTCATAAATGAATGAGACAACAAGGTCCATGTAAGTTTTGATAAGTTTGTTTTTCAGTTTAAAATGAAATAAGCAGAAACAAGAATTTTTTTTTTTAATTAAACAAAAATATAAGATTTTGACTATATTTTCCTTTTGGTTCACAGCTGAAATCTTCTTCTTTTTTTTTCTTCTTATTTAATTTCAAAATGAAAGACAAACTATCAAAACCCATAAACCCATTTTCTCAATTGTTACATAATTATCAAACAAAAATTGTAACAAGTTGCATAAATAATGAGTGAGACCACAACAAAATCCATGGATTAGAAATGCAAACACACACACACACACACACACACAACAGTTTGATGTCAAATGTTTAGGAGGCTAAAATCTAATTTCTCTTTTACTCACCATGGCTATCTTACATTTAGGCTACTTGCTAAAAAATACAGTCAAGCTGTTCTTCAAAACTTTTAACTGCCAGTGTATATGATAATAACATATAATCGCTGTAATGATGTAGCATAATTGCAAAAAAAATGTATGTTTCATAAATGTTAAACTTTTTTTGTATGTGTAGTGTTACAATAGGCCTAATTTTATCTCTCTGTGTCTCTGCATTTTTGAAAGGGCCTTGTCGTGAATGATGTTTATAACACAAATTAGCATTAAAATTATCAAACTTAAAATTTGATAATCTCTATAGAAGATATAAATATCATAAGAGGCATAAAATTGTTAAAATCCTCAAATCAATAGAATATAAACAAAATTAATCAATATCCTTATGATATTTATATTTTTGTGTGATGTTTCAGGTGCCAATTGCTGCTACAGTATACATTTTAGTATGTTCCATCAGTGTATGTCACAAAAATTTAAATAAATAAATGGCTGTGTTATAAAATAAAGATGTCTGATGTCATCTAACGATATAATCGACGAACATTTAACTTAGTCAACTTCTACATTTTAACTAACAGCTACAATTACAATGTGGCACGTCTTTAACATTTAACTTTACGACTATAACCTGTTACGTTACTCAAACTAACTCTAAAATTAAAAATGATCACTTACCAAACTTCGCTGGCTTTGAGGTGAGAAGTCTGCAACCGTTAGTGAAATGCAGTCAAGTGCATCAGTGCGCGCCCACTTCAAACTCCTGTTTATGTTCAAACTTCGGCAGCGCTGTATCCGGAAGTGTCAATATATAAAAACTACAAACCCATGAAGCATTGCGGTTTAGGCGCGTTTCTGGGCGCGTTTTTCTAGATGCGACCTGATTGGTAAAACTTTTAATTTTTTTTTTTTTTTTGGCATATTAGGACGTTGTAAGAAAGAAGAAACGATTGACATTCTTGTGCATGAAATGAGACAATCAAACAATTAAACTTATATTGTATATTTAAAATGTATGGTTTTCATAATTTAAATTATTATAGATTAAACCTTGTTAATAGAGAGCAATGCTGCAAACAGGAATAGGGGAAACAGCTATGTTTATGATAATATTATCAATTATAAAATATCTGAAATTACATTTTAACTGTGGGATAAGTCTGGCCACATATGTGGGCCATATTTCTATATTTTACGTGTGAGCCACATAAAACATTTAAACATGGCCCATATTCTGTTTGTTTTCCCATACAACCATGGCCCAAAAGAATGTTTTCCCATTCAGAAAAGTCATATATTCACAAATATGTCAAACACTGTAAAATATATTGAAATACATTTTGAAAATATATTTTTGTTAAATAACATGTTAACATGTTCACTGTAAAATATATTTTACAGTGTTTCACATATATGTGAATATATTACTTTTCTGTGTGGGAAAACATTGGGCTTTTACTCAAAAACATTTTAAAAGGATTTTAAATGTGGCTCAAGATTGGCCATATACGTATGGCCCACATATCTATATTTAACATCTGGGCCAAATACTCCATTTGACATCTGGCCCATGTCATGGGTGCCGTCTTAAATCCAGTGCCATCTCTGCCAAACCCGGGCCATGTTTGGCCCACATGCTGTATGCCAGTGCCGGATGAATGCCAGCTGTGCCAGACACATGCCAAATCTGGGCCAGAATTCTTTGCTACCTGGGAAGAGTGTGTGAACTAGACCACTAAAAGAGCTAAGAGTGTGTGAACAACACCACTAAAAGAGCTAAGAGTGTGTGAACACCACTAAAAGAGCTAAGAGTGTGTGAACAACACCACTAAAAGAGCTAAGAGTGTGTGAACAACACCACTAAAAGAGCTAAGAGTGTGTGAACAACACCACTAAAAGAGCTAAGAGTGTGTGAACAACACCACTAAAAGAGCTAAGAGTGTGTGAAAAACACCACTAAAAGAGCTAAGAGTGTGTGAACAACACCACTAAAAGAGCTAAGAGTGTGTGAACAACACCACTAAAAGAGCTAAGAGTGTGTGAACAACACCACTAAAAGAGCTAAGAGTGTGTGAACAACACCACTAAAAGAGCTAAGAGTGTGTGAACAACACCACTAAAAGAGCTAAGAGTGTGTGAACAACACCACTAAAAGAGCTAAGAGTGTGTGAACAACACCACTAAAAGAGCTAAGAGTGTGTGAACACCACTAAAAGAGCTAAGAGTGTGTGAACTAGACCACTAAAAGAGCTAAGAGTGTGTAAACAAAACAACTAAAAGAGCTAAGAGTGTGTGAACACCACCACTAAAAGAGCTAAGAGTGTGTGAACAACACCACTAAAAGAGCTAAGAGTGTGTGAAAACAACCACTAAAAGAGCTAAGAGTGTGTGAACAACACCACTAAAAGAGCTAAGAGTGTGTGAACAACACCACTAAAAGAGCTAAGAGTGTGTGAACAACACCACTAAAAGAGCTAAGAGTGTGTGAACAACACCACTAAAAGAGCTAAGAGTGTGTGAACAACACCACTAAAAGAGCTAAGAGTGTGTGAACAACACCACTAAAAGAGCTAAGAGTGTGTGAACAACACCACTAAAAGAGCTAAGAGTGTATGAACTAGACCACTAAAAGAGCTAAGAGTGTGTGAACAACACCACTAAAAGAGCTAAGAGTGTGAGAACAACACCACTAAAAGAGCTAAGAGTGTGTGAACTAGACCACTAAAAGAGCTAAGAGTGTATGAACTACACCACTAAAAGAGCTAAGAGTGTGTGAACTAGACCATTAAAAGAGCTAAGAGTGTGTGAACAACACCACTAAAAGAGCTAAGAGTGTGTGAACAACACCACTAAAAGAGCTAAGAGTGTGTGAACACAACCTAAAAGAGCTAAGAGTGTGTGAACAACACCACTAAAAGAGCTAAGAGTGTGTGAACAACACCACTAAAAGAGCTAAGAGTGTGTGAACAACACCACTAAAAGAGCTAAGAGTGTGTGAACAAGACCACTAAAAGAGCTAAGAGTGTGTGAACAACACCACTAAAAGAGCTAAGAGTGTGTGAACAACACCACTAAAAGAGCTAAGAGTGTGTGAACAACCACTAAAAGAGCTAAGAGTGTGTGAACAACACCACTAAAAGAGCTAAGAGTGTGTGAACAACACCACTAAAAGAGCTAAGAGTGTGTGAACAACACCACTAAAAGAGCTAAGAGTGTGTGAACAACACCACTAAAAGAGCTAAGAGTGTGTGAACAACACCACTAAAAGAGCTAAGAGTGTGTGAACAACACCACTAAAAGAGCTAAGAGTGTGTGAACAACACCACTAAAAGAGCTAAGAGTGTGTGAACAACACCACTAAAAGAGCTAAGAGTGTGTGAACAACACCACTAAAAGAGCTAAGAGTGTGTGAAAAACACACTAAAAGAGCTAAGAGTGTGTGAACAACACCACTAAAAGAGCTAAGAGTGTGTGAACAACACCACTAAAAGAGCTAAGAGTGTGTGAACTACACCACTAAAAGAGCTAAGAGTGTGTGAACAACACCACTAAAAGAGCTAAGAGTGTGTGAACAACACCACTAAAAGAGCTAAGAGTGTGTGAACTACACCACTAAAAGAGCTAAGAGTGTGTGAACAACACCACTAAAAGAGCTAAGAGTGTGTGAACAACACCACTAAAAGAGCTAAGAGTGTGTGAACAACACCACCACTAAAAGAGCTAAGAGTGTGTGAACAACACCACTAAAAGAGCTAAGAGTGTGTGAACAACACCACTAAAAGAGCTAAGAGTGTGTGAACAACACCACTAAAAGAGCTAAGAGTGTGTGAACAACACCACTAAAAGAGCTAAGAGTGTGTGAACAACACCACTAAAAGAGCTAAGAGTGTGTGAACAACACCACTAAAAGAGCTAAGAGTGTGTGAACAACACCACTAAAAGAGCTAAGAGTGTGTGAACAACACCACTAAAAGAGCTAAGAGTGTGTGAACAACACCACTAAAAGAGCTAAGAGTGTGTGAACAACACCACTAAAAGAGCTAAGAGTGTGTGAACAACACCACTAAAAAGAGCTAAGAGTGTGTGAACAACACCACTAAAAGAGCTAAGAGTGTGTGAACAACACCACTAAAGAGCTAAGAGTGTGTGAACACCACTAAAAGAGCTAAGAGTGTGTGAACAACACCACTAAAAGAGCTAAGAGTGTGTGAACAACACCACTAAAAGAGCTAAGAGTGTGTGAACAACACCACTAAAAGAGCTAAGAGTGTGTGAACAACACCACTAAAAGAGCTAAGAGTGTGTGAACAACACCACTAAAAGAGCTAAGAGTGTGTGAACAACACCACTAAAAGAGCTAAGAGTGTGTGAACAACACCACTAAAAGAGCTAAGAGTGTGTGAACAACACCACTAAAAGAGCTAAGAGTGTGTGAACAACACCACTAAAAGAGCTAAGAGTGTGTGAACAACACCACTAAAAGAGCTAAGAGTGTGTGAACAACACCACTAAAAGAGCTAAGAGTGTGTGAACAACACCACTAAAAGAGCTAAGAGTGTGTGAACAACACCACTAAAAAGAGCTAAGAGTGTGTGAACAACACCACTAAAAGAGCTAAGAGTGTGTGAACAACACCACTAAAAGAGCTAAGAGTGTGTGAACAACACCACTAAAAGAGCTAAGAGTGTGTGAACAACACCACTAAAAGAGCTAAGAGTGTGTGAACAACACCACTAAAAGAGCTAAGAGTGTGTGAACAACACCACTAAAAGAGCTAAGAGTGTGTGAACAACACCACTAAAAGAGCTAAGAGTGTGTGAACAACACCACTAAAAGAGCTAAGAGTGTGTGAACAACCACTAAAAGAGCTAAGAGTGTGTGAACAACACCACTAAAAGAGCTAAGAGTGTGTGAACTAGACCACTAAAAGAGCTAAGAGTGTGTGAACAACACCACTAAAAGAGCTAAGAGTGTGTGAACTAGACCACTAAAAGAGCTAAGAGTGTGTGAACAACACCACTAAAAGAGCTAAGAGTGTGTGAACAACACCACTAAAAGAGCTAAGAGTGTGTGAACAACACCACTAAAAGAGCTAAGAGTGTGTGAACAACACCACTAAAAGAGCTAAGAGTGTGTGAACTAGACCACTAAAAGAGCTAAGAGTGTGTGAACAACACCACTAAAAGAGCTAAGAGTGTGTGAACTACACCACTAAAAGAGCTAAGAGTGTGTGAACAACACCACTAAAAGAGCTAAGAGTGTGTGAACAACACCACTAAAAGAGCTAAGAGTGTGTGAACAACACCACTAAAAGAGCTAAGAGTGTGTGAACTACACCACTAAAAGAGCTAAGAGTGTGTGAACAACACCACTAAAAGAGCTAAGAGTGTGTGAACAGACCACTAAAAGAGCTAAGAGTGTGTGAACAAACCACTAAAAGAGCTAAGAGTGTGTGAACAACACCACTAAAAGAGCTAAGAGTGTGTGAACAACACCACTAAAAGAGCTAAGAGTGTGTGAACAACACCACTAAAGAGCTAAGAGTGTGTGAACTAGACCACTAAAAGAGCTAAGAGTGTGTGAACTACACCACTAAAAGAGCTAAGAGTGTGTGAACAACACCACTAAAAGAGCTAAGAGTGTGTGAACAACACCACTAAAAGAGCTAAGAGTGTGTGAACAACACCACTAAAAGAGCTAAGAGTGTGTGAACAACACCACTAAAAGAGCTAAGAGTGTGTGAACAACACCACTAAAAGAG